AAGTGCTGATGCTCGAAGCCATTCATGGTGCCAGTTGTGTGTCCCCTGTCTCGTGGGGATCAGGCTGCCTAGGTGGCTTGGCTGCTGCGGGTGCTCTGCTGTCGATGGCAGTAGTTGCTCTGCATGCTGCTCCTCAGGAGCTCAGAGTTGGGGGGGTCACCTCCTTACCTACAGAATGGCATCCCCAGCTTCCATAGCTCTCCTGGATGCTGCAGGTGCAGCGTCCCAGCTGACAGATGGGGTGATGCACGTCTGTGCTGCTCTCCTGGGCTGGTCTTGGCCTCATGTCACACAGATGTTCCTGGGACAGCTGTCACCCAAGTCACATGGGCCAAAACTGCCCCTTACCAAAAGATTTCCTTGGGAATAACCTTCCGTCTGTTGGAGCACAGGCTGTGTGAGTTCCTGTGCTGCCATGGGGAAAGGGCAAGGTGCTGCAGGTAGATCAGCTGGAACAGGTTGTGCAGCCCTGGCCCAGAGCTAGCCCTGGGTGATACATTCAGATTAGGAGAGGTACCTCGCAGCCCCGGTCCTGGCCGCGTTCCATCCCTGCCGTGGCTGCAGTAAAGCTTCTGCCCTGCCTGCTCCCTTCCCTGCAGTACCTGCCGTCACAGCCCTTCGTGCACAGGTGGGAAGAAAGGTTTGGCAACCTTCTTAGTCAATGCCTTTTCTCTCTTTTCTCTTAGAAGTGAAGAAGAAGGCTGCCTTTATCACTCCGGTGCCGGGAGGGGTAGGACCTATGACTGTTGCAATGCTCCTGAAGAACACACTCCTGGTGGCTAAAAAGCTCATTTACTAGAGCAAATGGGTTGCCTTGGAAGAAGAATCCGAGTTGTTCTATTTATTGATACACAAAACACTTATTTTTTACTACAAAAGTATTTATTTCTACATTGTATTTATTTTTTCATGTCAGGTATGTTAAAGCTGATGGTTTATAAAATGTTCAAATACTTTGTCTTACCTCCTACTGACTCATGGTGAGCAAAATCAACTTGGAGAACGCAGCCTATGCAGATATGTTGGTAGTGGTGGCCAATTACATGTTTGAGAATGAAGAAAAGCATAAATTACATCTGTACCTATGTTTTGGGGTAGTTATCAAGGTCTTGGTAAACACTTGGGACCTGTTCAAACAATATAAAAACTAAGACGTGCTGGATACGTGCTTTCAAATACGTGGTTTGCGTTCTGAGGTCACTAAGCACTTTGGATGTAGTTCAGAGTCCTTAAATACTTATTTTTGAGCAAGTAGAGCCAGCAGTGGCCAGGTAGTACTGTTGACATGAATGCAAACGTTCAGTAAATGTTTTAAAATAGTCAAACAAGCTTGAACGCTGGTGAAATGCTGACTTGAAACATCTGCAAGAGGTAAGCGTGAAAAAGTAGCTAGAATTGAGGCTGGAGTATGGGCAAATTGTTTTGGTGCATGACAGCCCCATCTCACAACAACCCCTCAGACCTGAACAGTTGGTTGGGCTGAATTTGGTGGAAATTGAATGGGATAGAATGAAATTGAGTGGAATGTAGTTTAAATTACTATACACATACAACATAGGTCTTGCGGCAGGAGACGGAGGAGAAACTTTATCCCTCACGAAATATTTGTGTTGGAACTTTAAACCATTTAATTATTCTCTTATTTTTCAAAACTGCATGAAGAGGGCTTTTCAGTCCATATTGTAAGCCTTGGCTTCAATGGCCACAGTATTTTGCTGGTTAGAGAAGAGCATATGGGGCAAGATCAGTATGCTTCTGTTCCCAAAGTTGGTTCCTGGATGGATCTAGAACAGTCCTATGCAGTGTAGAAGTTGCTGAGATGCCAGTTCAGCTGAGTGTGTGCACTGGTGACATTGCCACTGAAGGCAGTGGTAGACAGTTTAGACTTCTACATGTTTTTGTCTGGGCTCGGATTACTGATTTATTTTCATCAGGAGCCTTAGGTGTTTTTTAGTGGGCTATGGATAACTTGGAAGGGGAAGGAAAAAGACTGGGGCTAAGATCTCTTGCTGTTAAAGGGAAAAATGCCCTTACTGTGATAAATAAGTCAAGGTGGAGCATCATTTCCATGCTGGCTGTTCTTGTGATGGATTTTGAGTTTGCTTTAGCACGGTGTTTGCAGAAGTTTGACAGGATTGTTATTCAATATGCAGTGCCAATGGTGCAGACACTTGCTTGTCTTTTTAAATGTAGGCGGTAATATAAATTTATGTGGGAATATAAGTGGTAGGAGGATGAAGGCACCTATGGAGACTGTACTTGGACTCATCAACCCATGACTGAAAGATGGAATAAAACTTGTTCGCTGTTACCTTGTTCTTGCTGGAGGGTGTTGATGTGGTTTGGGGCATGGTTGTGTTCTTCCTTTGTTTATTGTGTGTTCAGCCATTGCTGTGTCCATGTGTTTGCTGTTTGTTTTCTTTGGTTTAACTCTGGTCATCTCTGTGTGTTTTGGCAGAGTAACCATTTAAGGCGCTGTGCTTGTGTCCCTTGAGCGAGCCTGCCTGTGTCATGCCCTACAAGCAGGTCATTGTGCATCGCAAGCCTTTTCCCTTTATCCCGTGGTAGCTGGCTTAGCATTACAGCACAGCCTGGGAGGCCTGGGCTTGGCTCCACTGCATGCTGGCTGCAGAGTTGCTGGAGGCATCCATGAGAGTGCTCTCCGCTGGGAGAACATCCAGAAGGAGCATCCAGAGGGAAGGGCCCATTAGACAGCACAGCGCGCCCGCCGGTGTGCCCGACCTGGTCAAGGTTTGTCCAAGGACAAACACCCCGCGGCAGACGGAGCGCGGCCTTGCCCACTGCAGCCTTGTCCCAGGCCTACCACACCCGTTGTGCTGCCTCGTGACAAAGGCTGGGCTCGGATTCAGGGCAGATTAAACTGCCATTGTGCAGCTGAGTGTTGAAAGCAAGGCTCAGGAACCTCATCCCTGCTCGGGACTGATAGCAGAGGTTATCCGGGTAGGCATAAACACTCCTGTCCGTGCAGGGAGTGTGCAGGTTGCGCTCAATCAGTGTGCAGGCATGCAGTAATTCAGGATAGCAAAGGAAGGGAAAAGCCTCATGGAATGCAGTCTGTGAGCAGGAAAAGGCATAATTAAAATATGCATAACTAGCTTGTGTTTTTCCCTTAACACGTGAAGTGGTTAGATGTAATCCTTCAGATCACTGAGGAGAATGCTGTGGAGAGGGAGGATGCGAGCCGACTGGAGTTACCAGGGCACTTATTAAAAGACTTCGGGTTTTAAAATCTAAAAATTGTGAAGTGTTTTTGTTGCTTGGAGCTCACAGTTGAGGAAGTGAGAGTTGTTGCTCAGGTGAACTATGTAGCTCTGATGTCTCAGTGTGTTACTGAACGGGGATTTTCCAGTTAACTGCTCTAGTCCGGGCACTTCAGTACCCTTCAGATAGACCAGTCCTACTTGTTCCAAGCTGCCTGTGACCAAGGAAGCTGGACAGTGTTTGGAGCCGTGGAGAGTGGTTTAGTACGAGAAGCATGTTTGACAGGTCTGTTCTAGAGACCCTGCAAACACTCTGTGAAAGGTATGGGTGTTCCCATTAAGCATAGTCACTTCTTGGAGAGGCAGAGATGGGCTTTTCTGGCAGAAATGAAGGGATCTGCTGCTATAGGAGGCAACAGTTTACCTGCTCTTTCAGTCTGTGTTTCTTCACTGCTTGTGCCTAGCCAGGTCTGGACTTGTGCCCCGCAGCTCTAGCCAGCAATCCCAGATCTGGCACCGGCCAGTGGGCTGCCTTGCTTCCCGGGCTGGGCACAGCCAGGCTGAATGGAAAGTGATTAGCACAGCCCTCAGGCTTGCAGGGCCTGGGATCAAAGGCCTCCCGCTGGCAGTCACTGATGAAGAACACCATCCATTATCTCTGTGCCTGATCGCTTCCTAATCTCGGCACTAGCTGTTCCCGCAGTTCCTCTTCTGGATGGCAGGGACTGAGAGACAGGGAGGACCAGGGGAGGAACATTAGCAGAGCAGGGACTGGTCTCTGCGCTTCAGCTCCAGTGTAGCATCTCGAGGGTGAATATCCTCCTGGAAGTCATATAAGACCGACATTGTGAAGAGAAGGAAACACCACGTTTTCACATCGTGTTTTGTTTGGCTCACCTTTGTTTGGCTGGTTTTTTTTGTTCTTCTGCACTGTCAGATTCCGGGTTTCACTCTAAAAGTGTACCTTTATGCCCACAGGTAATAGGAAACCAGGGTTTCAAAAGAAAACCTGATGCCATTGCTAGATAATAGCAGTTTCCTAAATAAATGTGTGGTTGCCCTGGGGGTTAGGTTGTTACCAGATGCACCTTTTCTTGATTGGTGAGAACAGGAGATGACGCTTCCTGGCGTATAAGTGCAAGAGAAAACACGGGAGCACAGATAAGCAGAGCAAGCAAGCCACCTGGAAAGAAGACCTGAGAAGGTGTTAAAGCAGCTGCCTGCCATGGCATTTGGAATGCTAATCTATATTTTGCTGAAAGGTAGGTTTGGAAGAGGCTTTTCTGTGTTGTGAGGTGCCAGGCTTTGTAAAACAGAAACAAAGCCTTTCTCCTTCTGAAATAGGCGGTGGGGTGGGAGGTGTGCAGAGACGTAGGAAGCAGAGCTACTTCAGCCATTTGAAACCTGGATGAAATTTTAACTGATAGCATATAATTTAGGTTCTTTGAAAATAAGCTACTTAAACTGGTAAATAGGTGTAAGGTTGTACTATGTTACATGTATCTATGCTGTAAATTGTGAGATAATAGAATGGAAAACAGGATGGATTTGTGTTTTGGGAAATTTGCAAGCCATCGTTTGTTGTCCCACAATCATAATTATGCTGTGTCAAAAGGAAGTTTGAGGCAAGAGTGTTTTAAATGAATTGTTATTTCATTGCTGCTTTCTCTGGGGTTTGTTTGAAGTGCATCTTGTATGAAGTGCTTTCTGGGTGAAGTGAACCTTGAATGGATACGCTGAGCTTTTCTGTTCCACTAAGCATCTATTTGCATTACACAGCAATGGGGGCACTGAGTGAAGACTCAGCTATTACTGCTTCATCCCTCAGCACTGACTTGCGGAATAACTGGACAAAAAACAACGCTGAAGGTATTGGTTTTTTGTGCTGTTTGTCTCTGTTAATCTGTCAGTTAGGGGAAAAAACCCAACCAACAAACCAAAATCTTAACCTAAATATGTGATGTTAGCTGCTGTGATGCTCTGTCCCTTGGACACTGGGATTTGTGAGATGAGCTGATTTCCTTGTGGAACCTTTGAAGCCTCTCTGGAGTAAGGGTGCCACCCAGCTGGGGTAGGCTCAGCAATGAACAGCTGAAGGATCATTTAATTCAAGTTCAGTCATGATTTGAAGGAGACATTTTAAGGCTGATGAGTGGGGTTTCTGATGTAGTTTCTATTACTTTGGCCTGCTGCTTGGTTTCTGTCTGTCCTCAGCACGCACCTCAATGCGCAGAAGTGAGAATGAACAGGCACAACTTGGAGCAATACCTGTCATGAGTTATTACTCACTAGTTTCTGTCTTTGTTGCAGTTTTGCTTTTGGCTGTCTGGGCTTTCACGGCCCTCCTCAGAGTGCTGGCTCTCTCCTTTCTTCCTTTCTCTTTCCTGACTGAAATGTGAACCCAGGCTCTTTTACCTGCCAACCTCTGAGAGCAGAGCTGTGTTTATCCTGCCAGCTGCATTCTTGGTGTTACCCGAGATGCTGGTGATGTCATTGCTTTCGGAGAGCTGTGCCATCTGGGAATGAGGTTTTGGCAGGTCAGTAAAGGAGGAGACGAATCTAACTGCGATTTTTAGTGTCTCTGTACTTTGAAAGGCACGTAAACAGGCATACAAATAATCTGTTAATTCTAAGTTGTCACAGGACATCTTCCAAGCCTTTTTTAGTAGATCCATAAGCTTTTTATTATTTTCTCATAACAAGTCCAGCTGTTTTATTTTCATTTCTGATCTCTCATAGTGGCAGAGTGTTATATATACATTGATCCATACACATACCATGTGTGTGGGTTCCTTATATATATATATACATAAAATATGTATACACACTTGTGTGCATGTGAAATCGGTAAGGTGTTGATTTTTGACCGCAGTACTTTGCTTTATCAGTGCAGCACTGTGGTCTGGTTTAGTCTGTCTGTGACACGATTCTTGCAGAGGTGCATACAGCAAACAGGAGGATAATGAAGTGGAAATACCTTGTGGTTCGTTAAGTGCCCTGTTAGTGTGGTTTCTAGAAAGCAGGAGCAATGGGTCATGTTTCAACCAAGAGGAGGCTCATTTACAGGGTCACAGCCATGTCTGCAGTAGTCTGGGAACCTTTGTGGCAGCTGGAGCTGTGGTAGTCAGCTGGATAGCAGCATTTTCCTTTGAGAGAGTTCTACTCAAAGGTAGAATCAAATTCACAAACATTCAAGCATACATTTACGCAGGGAGTTAAAATTATATTTTGGTGGACCTCTTACAAAGCCAGTGAAAAGTCGATAAACAGCCTTTCCAGAAAGAAGATTGAAAAGAAATACTTAAAAAGACACTAGAGAAACTCACTGAAATCTCTCCAGTTTGCTGATAACTTCTCTTGCTGTGCACTGTAAGTTCATGGTAAGGCTTACTTGCCAGGGTTCAGTGATACTGGGTTCTGAGGACGTGAGTTCCTGGTTCAGTATCACTGGAGAAACTGGTGGTTTCTTGTGGGATTCAAGCCCTTTGGGGACTGAGGTGCTGTTTGTGGAAAACCATTAATTTCTGCTCCATCTCTTGGCCTGCTATTTACAAGGTCTGGTCCTATTTCCTTCTTTTATGTCGCACAGGCTTTACTTGTCACCAGTACTGGGGCTGGGGAATTTTAGGCTCACTGATTACTGAGAAGGGGGAAAGGTCATGGAGAGGAGCTGGGAGCTGGCACAGCATGGTCTTCTTAGCAAAACGGGCAGCCAGGAGTAGGGAAGGTCTTGGTTGCACTGGGAAAAACATGGAATCTCTTGATTGCCATCAGCTGGTTCCCTGCAGCCTGTAAAGGAGGCCCTGGAGCTGGGACTGAGCCCTTCCCTGCCTCCTCTTTCCCACTGCCTTTCCCCCCCGGTGCAGGGTGCTCGGGGGCTGAGCTGTCATGGTCTTACTGGCTGACTCCTTTTGTTGCCAGTCTGTTAGTTTTGGCAAGCCCAGGCTTCCAAGTGCCTGTAACCCTGATTTCATGTCACATCTTGCCAGGTGTATCTACTTGAATGACTCAGTTGCAGGCAGCTGTCAAGTGCTTACACGGCATGTTTCTCTCTCTTCACGTGACATGAAAGGGCACATGGACCTGTTTATTCAACAGCTTGTTTAGTATCTAGGCGGGCAGTATGATAGGAATTAACATAATGCTCTGGGGCAGACTAGGAAATCATCCTTTTTGTTTTCAAGACTCATTCTTTCAGAGGTAATTTGTACTTTTGCAGTGTCAAAATAATTAGCACACGGAATTCTTGTGTGTGGACTTAATAGCTGATCTTAGCCACAAAGGACCAAGCTCTTCCTCCTGATGGAAGGAATGTCTTGGTTTGTCTCAAGTGCTTTCTAGGCAGGCTGCTGCTCCTGGCTGACCTGGGTTTCTAATGACACCGGCACTCGGGGAAGAGTTCCTGTGCCCGTGCAAGGCCAGGTTTCCTGCAGGTGTGGGTAGGTGGAAGTCTGCCACCTCTCGGCAGAGCTGACGTGAGCAAGGAGGGATTTTGGGATGTGGAAATCCACCTGGTCGGAGTTGGGGTAGAGGTGGCTGGGGATTTTGTGCCTCTGGGGTGTGAATTTGTACCTTCCTCAGGTTTATTTTCTTTCTTCCCCTCGTGGAAGAGATGGAAATGAAAAGCTAAACCTGTACAATAGACACATTCTCGGGGCCTGGCAGGAGAGTGGTACTTTGGGCAGTGGGAAATGCTGGCTGAGGTCTCCCATTAAAGGGGATTTTCAGTGATTTTCTAGTGCACTTTGTGCAGCAATGGTGATTCAAAACACTTGGTGCCTGAGTGTTTGAGGAGGCTCCTGGGAAAAGTGTGGATGTGCCGTTGTCTGTTTTTCTGAAACTCATCCCTGCAGAGCTTAGGTAGCTGTTCTGCAGGTACTTCAGATGTAACCAGAGTGGGCTTTTGTGAGTCCCCAGCATCCTGGATCTCCTTGGCATGCTGAGCCCTGCAGCTCTGCTGGCCATATGCTTTCCATTGTGCTTTCTTCATCAGAGAATAGTGTACAGTTCTTCAGTGCAGCCAGTAGGGTGATCCATCTCTTGTCCCAAAATCTGTCTTTGCATCCTGAAAACTGCCCTCTCTTAACTTCTTCCTGAAGTCTGTCCCTCTAAGGCCTGGTCCTTTGCTGACTGTGCTTTTAGCCAACAAGCCTGTCTCCAGAGGTTGTCAGCAGCTTCCCCAGAAGCAGCCAGAAAGAGCCAGAGCTGGATACTAGAGCTCCTATTTAGCCAGCACCAACTTCCTCCCTTGCATGGTGTTTCTAGGCCCCACAGTGTGAAGAGAAATTTGTGTCTAACTTAGCCATCCTTCCACAGATAAAATGCCCTTTTCCCAGACATTAGAGGCTTGTTCTGAAACAAGACATGCCTCTCCCACCTCTGTAGCTTTTCTGGGGAAGTGCAGTAAGCCAACATGTCATTTTTTCAAGCAGATCTGAATTGCCACTTCTCCCTAAATCTCTTCCTAAGCTGCAAGTCTGGTTACTCTGTCAGGTTTGAGACCTTGTTCTCAAAGGAATTGTTTGATCTGAGTGTCAGTGATAGCATCGTGCCTTTTGGGTGTCCAAACCACATCATGCACAGCTGAAGTTGAGAGCTGCTCTAGCGAGAGCAGCTGTTTGCCATTGCTTGTCACCTCTGATAAAGCTGCAGAGAGGAGGAAGAAAAAAACCCCAAAACTACGTAGAAGAGCACGCAAAGGAGGTTCCTGCCATTAAATGGCTCAGACTGGAATTTGATTGGGAATGTAGGGGGCTGGTGCTGTTAATCCTGAAAAGTATGTGGTGGGATCACAAGTGGCCTTCAAGGAGGCTTGAGGCTTGTGTCCATGGCAATGGTTCCATGGCTGTATGATCTCCAGACCTTGATTCAGCACTTAGTCAGAAAGGAAGGGTTCTGCTTGCTGTACCTTTGTTGAGTCACCTTTGTTGAGCAGACCTTGTCACCTTGCTGCAAGATGTTATTTTTCTTGTGGTCATAACTGAAAGCTGCTGTTGACATGCACTCTGTTAGGAAATCACCTTCAGCTGTCACTGAGGCAGTCCCCTGAAATAGCAAGTCATTGCTTGGACACCCCACCCCACCAGTGATTCCTGGAACTGGGTAGAGAGACCAGTTGGAACAGATGCCTGCAGTGATGGCAAAGCTTTGGAGCTTTCTCCTCACCTGCTGCACCCCTGTTCCTGTGACTTCTTTATTCCTATTTGAACCACCCTGAATAAGGGCAGTCTTGGCAGGTTAAAACTGTCATGGGACACTCTGCTAACGTTGAACCATGGAGAAGGGAGGGGAGGGAGGAGTCCCACCATTCATCCTCACCCCTGGCTGCAGAGCTGGCAGGCAGGAGCACTAGAAGTGCAACAGTTCGTCTTGGGACAAGGAAAAAAATTAACTATTAATTGAATTCAGATTGGGAAGGACACTGAGAATAATGCAGTGCTCTCCTTGTGTCCTAAATCCCTGCTGTTGCCGGCATGGTTTTTGATTGGATTGTAGATTGGGTAGTGCTGGTGTTACCCTGTGTGAATCTCCCGTAGTCATTTCTGTATGTGTTCCTCAAGAGCAAGTGATTTATTCACAGTTTGTGCTTCTCAAAGCTGTGCTGGACTTTGTGGGAAGCTTGCTCTGTTCAGTGGTGACTGAACTAGCTCACGGGACACCACACAGTAAATTGATGTACAGTGTTTGCTGCACAGTGTCTGTTCTGCTCCAGGTGTGAAAATATGTTTAAATGATATTTTGTCCTAAACATAACATGACTTCCATTCTTTCACAGTGGATTATACCGAGCAGCCAAAGCTCTTGAAGCTGATGCAGACCTGCCTTGAGGAGCACCACAGCTATTGTATCAATGGGCTCTGCGCCTTCCACAGCGAACTGAGGAAGCCCATATGCAAGTAAGGACCCCTGCCTGTTATACCCTTCTTCAGAAATGACTCTGGCATCGATTCTTCATGTGCTGCATGTGCACCTTCACAGTGCCAGTCAGGTATTTGCAGGATTAAACTTTGGCACAGACCTGAGTGCTGTGGTGCCTCAGGACTGCTAGCAAGGCTGCAGTGCTGTGCTAGTGTAAAACTGAGGAAGGGAGAGGGGGGATTCACAGCTTTGTAGATGGCTGCCATGGTGCCATCTCAAATCACAGCTGGTACTGAAGTTAGTGGTACAGGAGTCAGTAGATGTTCACAGTCAGTATTAAGAAGGGAACAGGATCTTCCAACATACCAGCTCCAACTCCCTTATTCCACAATCAGGACCATGGTGTCCTTACAGTTCTCTAGGATGCATAGTGGGCAGCCTTGGCCTCTGGAGACATTACAGCAGCTGAGGATCAGCAGAGCACAATGCTCTTGGTCCACGCCCTGCACAACCAGGGGATGCTTAGACTGCATTGCTGCTGTGACTGCAGTGCTCAAGCTAGCTTTAACCCAGGTGAACTGGGACAACTGGTAGTCTTGGTGGAGGGAAGAGGTTCTGAGTGAGCACCAGGTTCAGCCCCTCCTTGTTTAGGCTTCTTGAACTGGTGATCAGTTCAAAACGGATGAAAACGGATGTGTGTGTGAAATAGAAAGCAAGACAAGCTCTGAATGATTTTTGCACGATGTGTATTTATTTTGTAGGTGCCTTGCAGGTTATAATGGAGAGAGGTGTGAACATTTAACTCTAAATTCATATGCACATAATTCTTATGAGCGCTACATTGCTGTGGGGATTGGTATAGGAATACTGACCAGTGGAATACTTGCCATCATCTACTGCTATGTAAGAAAGAGGTATGGGAAATCTGGAGCCTTCTGATTACATTGGTCTGAATTTCGGTGGGCAGGGTTTTGAGGGCATTGGGATTGTGCTTTTGCCTGCTACTAATCTCTGGTGATCTTAAAGGAACTAACGCTCTCTGCCTCTGATTTCTGATCTACCAGTGGGGCCAGTGGTGCAGTTGTCTGAAACGTGGGGATCCTCTGGGCTGCCTAAGTGAGTTAGGGGGCTAGATTTTGATTCTGTGCAGGCTGCTGCCGTTTCAGGTTTGGCTGATACAAATCACGTGCTGGTGTCTGCTTTAGATGCAGGAAGCTGCAATCCCCCTACAAGGTGTGCGTGGGTGAGACGGCGTTGTGAAGCCCCGGCGCTGGAACGCTCACCGCTTTGCCTGCTGAGGAGGAAGGCTCCTGGCCATCGCACAGGCACGCCGGCCTCGCTGAGGACATGGGCTCAGGGAACGGCAGAGGAGCGCGCCAAGGGAGCTCCCGCAGGACTGACAGGCTCTGTGTTCTGGAAGAAAGACTTCCTCTCTTGGGTGAGGGTGGATCGTGCGCAGGTCCAAGCAGCTGGACACTGGCAGGCCTTTGGGCACGCTCCTGTGCCCAGTGTTTGCCGTGGGGAGGACTGGTTGGTTTTAGCTGTTTGCAGTCATTTCAAGCACTCGTACAGTGTTCTGCTTTGGTCTTTTGTGTGTTTTGTTTGGTTTTGTTTTCTTCTTTTTTTTTTCTCCTCTGGAGGATAAGCAGCACCTCCCTCACAGTGGAGCTGTGTTCTGGACATCATGCCCTGACCCCTAACCATCTGGGTTCTGATTTTGCTGTCTGCTGGCTGTGTGTGTGGATGAACAGCCCTCTCCCAACCCAATGGTTACCACTGGTGTGCTGGGCCAAGTATGGGCTTCTGGTGCCGTAAAGGACAACAAATGCTTTGGACTGAGGAAAATGTCTGGTTCTCCATCCTTAAATTAGAATATAGAGAGTAGGCAATTCCTGGAGAATCAGACCGTGACACCTCTGGGCATGGCACGTTTTTATGGTTTTCATAAGCAAAGCAACCAGACGCCTTTCTCAAAATGGATTATGGAGCGTGCTTGTGGCAAAGAACTCTCCTCTTCCCAAACATCCTATAGCAGCTCCGCAGTTCCATGGAATTTCAGGCAGAACATTGCCTTGCTGCACCCTGATTCCTGCACAAGACTTGAATTGCTAGAGAAGCTGGAATTTTGCTATGAAACTTCACTACGGTTTTTCCCAGGAAGCAGACTTTCTCTCTGCCATTTGCACATTATGGGGACAATGTGGCCACTCAAACAAGAACAAAATTATTTTAGGGATTTAGTTCCACCCCGGACTAACAGGTTGCATACTGCATGCTTGGTTCCATTCATCTTATCTACGGAAAATTGGGAAGGTACGAAGATTTCATTCAAGGAAAAGGGAAGAAAATTGGTTCTGAGGATGGTGGTACTAACTGGGACGTCTCACTGACAGCTGGAGTGTTTGCCAGTGCTGATGTGACTAGAGATGGCTCTCAGAGATTTTCATTTCAGCTGCTGCACATTGTAGGCTCATCTGCTGTGCTCAGCCATCTGCCAGAGAAAGGCAATTGGTACATCGAGGTCTTGTGGAGTAATATTGGCTCCTGAATTCAGGTGCCCTGCTGAAATCTCATTTCTTTGTTTTGTGAGTTCATTTTGACAACAAGGATGTATGCTGTTTGTTTAAAAAATGTGTGTTTGTGAGACTACGGTGACAATGCTGAAGGGTGTATGAAAGGTGGGGTTTGAAAGGGTCATGGTGCATGTGGTGCATCCATGGTCTGAAGTTCAGGGGCCTTCTCATGTGGGCATCCTGATCAGTAGCTGGGCCATCCTGGCTCTGTGATACCAGTAAATAAAACAGCACATCACACACTGCTCAGAATCCCGTGTAACACAGGGAGCAAGCTGCATGTCCACACACAAAATGGATTGCTGGTGAGGAGTGGATGGACACCACTCCTCTGCACTTTGACACCAGTTTTTCCAACCATCAGCCTTTTTGTCTTCTTCATCTCCAGTCAGATCTTCAAATCTTTGCACTGCTTGCTTTTTTCCGTTCTTCTGACCTTTTCTTAGATTCCACTGCTGGGTAACTTGTGCTCTTGACAGTCTTCAAGTCAGCTTTTGGTTGTGGCCCTACCACTTACTGTCACACACACGTGGTGAGAGGGCAATTCGGTATGAATTACAGTCTGCACATCCTCACAAATGAAAAACACCCTTCACCCATCTCCATGGAACTGGAAAATATGCATGTCATTACAGGTGAGGGATCCTGCTCATTGGTCCCAGGAGAAGATTGTAGAGTGAATATCCAAAGGATGAAAAGCCTTAGGGTTTTTGTCATGTGAGTGAATCTTCCTCTCCCCAGTGAGTTGTCTCTTCCTGTGCTCACACTGCCAGTGTTGGATTCACTTCCCAAGGACCAGCCCTTCTCCACTGCAGAGGCTGTCTTGGAGCAGACACACACCCTACACACCTGGCTCAGGGGTCCATGCATTTGTCACACAAGTTCTAAGGGCACAAGTTGGAACAACGGGACTTCACCTTGCCCAAAGAGAACTGTTGGAGAGAGATGCATTTGCTTTGCATGACCTCTTACTGATGTTTGTTATGCCCTTTGTGTACAGACTTTCTCTCTGCCATTTGCACATTATGGGGACAATGTGGCCACTCAAACAAGAACAAAATTATTTTAGGGATTTAGTTCCACCCCGGACTAACAGGTTGCATACTGCATGCTTGGTTCCATTCATCTTATCTACGGAAAATTGGGAAGGTACGAAGATTTCATTCAAGGAAAAGGGAAGAAAATTGGTTCTGAGGATGGTGGTACTAACTGGGACGTCTCACTGACAGCTGGAGTGTTTGCCAGTGCTGATGTGACTAGAGATGGCTCTCAGAGATTTTCATTTCAGCTGCTGCACATTGTAGGCTCATCTGCTGTGCTCAGCCATCTGCCAGAGAAAGGCAATTGGTACATCGAGGTCTTGTGGAGTAATATTGGCTCCTGAATTCAGGTGCCCTGCTGAAATCTCATTTCTTTGTTTTGTGAGTTCATTTTGACAACAAGGATGCATGCTGTTTGTTTAAAAAATGTGTGTTTGTGAGACTACGGTGACAATGCTGAAGGGTGTATGAAAGGTGGGGTTTGAAAGGGTCATGGTGCATGTGGTGCATCAATGGTCTGAAGTTCAGGGGCCTTCTCATGTGGGCATCCTGATCAGTAGCTGGGCCATCCTGGCTCTGTGATACCAGTAAATAAAACAGCACATCACACACTGCTCAGAATCCCGTGTAACACAGGGAGCAAGCTGCATGTCCACACACAAAATGGATTGCTGGTGAGGAGTGGATGGACACCACTCCTCTGCACTTTGACACCAGTTTTTCCAACCATCAGCCTTTTTGTCTTCTTCATCTCCAGTCAGATCTTCAAATCTTTGCACTGCTTGCTTTTTTCCGTTCTTCTGACCTTTTCTTAGATTCCACTGCTGGGTAACTTGTGCTCTTGACAGTCTTCAAGTCAGCTTTTGGTTGTGGCCCTACCACTTACTGTCACACACACGTGGTGAGAGGGCAATTCGGTATGAATTACAGTCTGCACATCCTCACAAATGAAAAACACCCTTCACCCATCGCCATGGAACTGGAAAATATGCATGCCATTGGGAAAACACAGGTGAGGGATCCTGCTCATTGGTCTCAGGAGAAGATTGTAGAGTGAATATCCAAAGGATGAAAAGCCTTAGGGTTTTTGTCATGTGAGTGAATCTTCCTCTCCCCAGTGAGTTGTCTCTTCCTGTGCTCACACTGCCAGTGTTGGATTCACTTCCCAAGGACCAGCCCTTCTCCACTGCAGAGGCTGTCTTGGAGCAGACACACACCCTACACACCTGGCTCAGGGGTCCATGCATTTGTCACACAAGTTCTAAGGGCACAAGTTGGAACAACGGGACTTCACCTTGCCCAAAGAGAACTGTTGGAGAGAGATGCATTTGCTTTGCATGACCTCTTACTGATGTTTGTTATGCCCTTTGTGTACCAGAGGCCAAGCAGGTGACCTGCAGGATATGCAGGTGCCTTTTCAGTGGTATTTACTCATTGCAGTGAGCCATTTTGTACCTACAGCAACGTACTCTGACTTGATTATTTCAAGTTAGGTTACGTGTAAGTGAAAAGGAAGTCTACTTTTCCACAATTTAGCAGGAGACTACATAGTGAAATATGTCTTTCTAGTTGGCTTTCAGGCCCACTAGTGAGAGTTTGGAAGTGAGAAGTGAGAGTTTGCTGGTGTTTTTTTGCCAGTGGAAGAAAAAAGTGGAGAGTGAAGCACCAGGTAAGCCTGTGCTATGCCAAGTGAGACTTGGTGTCAGGACAGAATGAGAATAAAATAGCAGGATGAAGATGGGAAGGAGGCAAGGGCAGGAAGGAAAAGAAGATGCTTGCTTTATTTTAATTCTCTTTTTCCCAGTGGAGTCACGGCTTCCAGCACGGGGTTCCTCACCACCTGTGTGCTGGGCGCCTGCCCTGCAGAAGCACAGCCTCCGAGCAGGCCCCAGCTGTGTGTGAGGCGTCGCTGCAGGACTGACTCACGGTGCAGCTGGGCTGAGGGAATCTGCATGGCCTCAGATTGCTTCAGGGAGTCAGCCCTGCTGAGCCCTTCCTTGATAAGTGACAGATGCTGCCAGCCTGGAATGGTGTGCTGCTGCTTACGGTGCTGAATTTCCTGCAGAACTGGCCTGCCAGAGGATCAGGATCATCTTTCCTAGCTCATTTATCAGGCTCAGACTCTTTCTGTAGTGGCATAATTAAGAGAGTCGTAAGCTTCTCCTTCCCTTTCCAGCTGCACGTGCCAAAAACTGTCATTTCAAAAGGAGCCCCTGCGTTTGTGTGACTTTTAGGCAGGGCTGCCTCAGCTGTGGGAGGCAGCAGCTCAGCAGGGACAAGCCAGAGACATCAAAGACCAGGATCTTCCTTTCTGAAGGACAGAGCACTTGCCCTGTGCATGATCCAGGCTGGTGGAACCGCACTGGATTTTCCTGCAGCACATCCCTCAAGCTGGGTTGCCCTTAAGCCACCCAGCCCTGAACCTGCTCCACTGGCATCTGCAGCCACTGTGCAGGTGTGCTGGGCTGCCACTGGAACACCTTCCCTGAATTCAACTCCCATTTTCTGCTCAGCTGTGTGGGTGGCCTGCAGTTTCCCTGATCCCAGCAAGGTCTGTTGCAAACAGAGGTGCAAGCCTGGGGAAAAGATGGCTTTAAAGACACTTGATTTGGTTTTGGAGGGAAGTGTAAGGAGCTGGATTGATGCTCTGAGTGCGCAGTGTCCCCGTCCCACTTGCTGGTTGGGGCACGCTGGTGGCTGGCACGCAGGTAAGAGGCAGTTTTTCCTTGGAGATTTTCTGTTATTCCTAGTAACCCACAGTATATTTGGATAATGAGGGTTTCCAGGGTTTCTTCTCCATCCCACTTACAGTAAAAGTACAAATCTCATTGGTGCTGCTGCAGCAGTGCAGTCCTGCCTTGTGTTTGTGTATTAAGAACCAGCTGTGGAACTGCTCACTTCCTAGTGACTCTCAGCTTCATGCAAAAAAAGACAACAAAACAAAACCCCCTGAAAAAAACCCACCCCAGCTCTCCCTTCCACCTCCAACAAAACCCCAAAACCAAAATCAAACCCAAAAAGTCATATTCCTCTTGGCAAAATTTTAGAGCTTTGTAATTCTTTACACCTCTTATTTGTTTTGTTTCATTTCTGGTCCATGAAATGCACTGTAGCATCCCACAAGGAGAAAGCTAATTTGGTAATGTAATTGATTTCATAATTGAGTTCAGGATAACTCCTGAAGGTTGCAGTTCTTAATGGATTGCCTTTAGACCATCCCTAGGAAGCAAGGCTTTAAGGATGATGTTCTGTGGAGAACTAAAGCAAGGAGGGATCAAACCCATGTGATAGAGAGATGTCAGACTTCAAACCTTTTTAAAATGTAGATCATTCTTCTGTGGCTTCTTTTAAGAAATGGTGCTCGGGTAGATCAATGACACAGTAAGTGTTGAGAGAGAGGAAAGACTGGTCAGATTTGGTAAGATGTGAGTTTGATGGCGAACAGCAAGAGTTTATTTTTGAATATTCAGTTCAGCTCTCTCTCATGGGATATGAGTGTGGATTTACTGTTTGTGTTTTAACTTTTAGAGCATGTATCATGGCCAAATGTAAATGAAAGCAGACATTGGCACGACGCACATCAGTAATCTAAGGCTGGATTCAGTCAGCTCCAGCCTTGTCCTCGGCAGGGTCTTCATAGCCCTGCTGGTTTCAGTGAATGCTGGCACGGAACCCAGTGCTGGCTGCTCTGCAGTCTGTGTGTCCCAGAGCTCTGGTGTGGCCGCTGTGCACTCTGTGTGTCCCAGAGCTCTGGTGTGGCTGCTCTGCAGTCTGTGTGTCCCAGAGCTCTGGTGTGGCTGCTGTGCAGTCTGTGTCCCAGAGCTCTGGTGTGGCTGCTGTGCAGTCTGTGTGTCCCAGAGCTCTGGTGTGGCTGCTGTGCACTCTGTGTGTCCCAGAGCTCTGGTGTGGCTGCTGTGCAGTCTGTGTGTCCCAGAGCTCTGGTGTGGCTGCTCTTACCTGTCCTGAGCCTTGCTCGGAACAGGAAAACGCCTGTAGAGGTCCCTATTGTACTGCAAATCCAGGAAACCGCTTGGGACTCCTCCTTTACGACCCGGTTAAGGAACA